TACTACTATCTCATTCATGAACTGCTATTTTGTCAAAAAATTGGTTCCTACTTTGAAATTTCTTCAACTCTTATATTAAAGATTGGCACACACATGCATCATATTTATTGTAGGTCAATTTTCATATTTATTGATATGAGAATTAAAATAGTGATGGTAAAGAGAATAAACTAAAAAAAGTTTAGGATCTATTTATCTATAATCTAAGTAAGGAAGAAAGATTAAAATAACAAAATTAAACTTTGCAAGTTGACTCTTCAAGTGAAATGGTTTATTAATTTTATACTGTAACATGTAAAGGTAAAAGCAAACTAATTTGCGAAGTAATAGTGAGGAAGCAATTGAATTGATTGTGATGAGTTTACCAATCAGTGCTAGACCTTGGTTGCAAGGATTCTTCTTCATAAAAATGTAATTGAGAAACCATAAGTAATTGCAAAGAATTTAGGAAAGAAATTCCTATCCATCCATTTGATCTTTCCATTCTACTTTCCTAGTTTGAAATTTCTATAACTATCTATCTCATTCATGGACTTAAATTGTCTAGAAATTGGTTTCTACTCTGAAATTCTTCCACTCTTATATCACAAATTGGCATATACATGCACCATATTTATTACATGTCAATTTCCACATTTACTTGACAAATGTGGTCAAGTAAATGTAAACGAGGAAACTTGCAAGCAATTGCAAGGAAGTGATGAACGGAGAGGATTGAAACCATAAGTAATTGCAAAGAATTTAGGAAAGAAATTCCTATCCATCCATTTGATCTTTCCATGCTACTTTCCTAATTTGAAATTTCTATAACTATCTATCTCATTCATGGACTTAAATTGTCTAGAAATTGGTTTCTACTTGTGTTATACAATATGTTGAATCAAAGTATGTTCCAATCAAGAGACCATGACTTTATATCAGCTTATTTTATTTTATTTTTTTTTGTAATTTTTTGTAATTTTTTGAACAAAAGTGAAAGACTTCATATCAGCTACATACATGATGAGCATCTTAGATTTCACCATTGCTCTTCTGGATGAGACTTGTTGACTTGATTTCAACCCTTTAATGTAAACAAAATTTCCAGGAAATTTTCTTATTAAATTGTGTTAGTGCAATCGGCCTAAAAGAAATATGTTAGAGCTCATTTCTTGTAAATTATTAGAGGAAGACTTAGATGTGTTAGTGGAAGACCTTGCCTAACTTGCTATTTCTTCCAAAATGCATTATTATTGTTAGTTCAATTATTAAAATATAATATAAGAAGAGCTAAATTTAATCAGTTTTTGCATTCTATTTGCATAACTGCATTTTTAAATTCATTTGTCTTTAATTTTAAATAAAAAAAATGATTTTTTAGTGAGTGTATTATACAATCTGTTAAATCAAAATATGTTCCAACCAAGAGACCATGACTTTATATCAGCTTTTTTTTCTTTTTTTTTTTGAACAAAAGTGAAAGACTTCATATCAGCTACATACATGATGAGCATCTTAGATTTCACCATTGCTCTTCTGGATGTGACTTGTTGACTTGATTTCAACTCTTTAATGTACACAAAATTTCCAGGAAATTTTCTTATTAAATTGTGTTAGTGCAATCGGCCTAAAAGAAATATGTTAGAGGTCATTTCTTGTAAATTATTAGAGGAAGACTTAGATGTGTTACTGGAAGACCTTGTCTAACTTGCTAATTCTCCCAAAAGGCATTATTATT